CTCCAGCCCCCACTCCCCATAAACTTACCTGCATCCAGCTGCTGAGGCTGCTCCTACCACCCTGCTTGGCTGCATGCTGGCTATGTGTGTGTATGTACGCACTTGCACGTGATGCCCCCTGCCTCCAATTGCTATCCCCCTGCTCCCACCAGTGGAGCAGAGCAAAATCCTGGACCCTTGTTCAGATTAAAAAAAACTACCCAGATGGAAACCGGGGAACCCAAAAAGAGGACATGTCTGGGAAAACCCAAACGTACAGAACCCTACTGTAAATACAAGTACTATCCTGCTGCAGTTTTTTTGTGCACAGCAGCATATGTGTAGACACTGCCCCAGCCAGCAGGCAACCCGTGCGCCAAAGCACCCTTGGGCCCTAAACCAGTCATTTTGCAGCACGTGGAACCTGGTCAGAGCAGCCCTGGGCTGGCAGGCTGATCTCCTGGGTCTCCTGCCAGCCTGGGCTGTACTGACTCAGCTCCACTTGCTGTGCACGAATAAACTCCAGAGCAATATACTCTGGGGATCTTTGCTCCCAGGTGCACATTCAAACATCATGCCCGGGAGCAAAAAACTCCAGAGCAATAGGACCCAGTATATTTGTGTGCATTAATCGCATGTGTAGATGTGCCCAGTGTTGAAAATTTGCCTTCAAAGAACAGGAAAAGTAAAGCCAAATGTGGTATTAATTTTGGTTAGAAAATGAATTTAAAACATCCCTGAAAGGTACTATGCAGATGAATTAAGATTTTAAAAATCATTACAGATCTTCTGAATGACAGAAAATGACAATGTTAAATATATGTATAATATGATCATCATACTTGATAATCATATTTGTTCTAGTTTTTCAATTGCTAAACATTGAATAAAAGTATATTGAGGAAATAAAAGCACTGGGTGACCTCAAACAAGTTATTTCACTGGCCTGCTTCTTTCTAGCTTGCATGTTTGGACTATAAGCTCTTTGATGCAGGGACCATCTCTTGCAAAGTATTTGTACCTAATACAGTGGACCCTAATATTATCTGGGTCCGCTAAATGCTACCATAGCCCCAATAGGTACTTTAAAAAAGAACATTAAAAATGTCTGTAAATAAAATGTAGATGCATTGTACAGAAAGTTGAATTTATAGTGGATAATAATCGTCACTAAATCATGTGTGGGAAAAAAAGGAAGGAGAGCTTCTATGTGCTACCATTATATATATATTGTTATCTTTAATTAAAAGACCATATTCTTCCCTTGGCTGAACTAATTCACTCTCCACACACCTCAGTGCTCAGCTGTGAAAGAGATACTAACTGTGTTAAATAAAACATGGCACAGGAAGCAAAAGCCATTGGGTTCTGTGGACTTTGGATCAGATTGTGTGAGAATACGCAAAACTATCTTACATCCTAATGACAGAAAATATTGTAAAGGCAACAAATGATTGAAAGAAACAAGTGCTCTTTTGTAGTCAGTACATTTCATTCCCTGTGGATGTACAGGTATAGACCCTTTACTGTGTTGGCCTGTGCGTGACCCCATGGAGTAACTCTCTGCTTATCATGCATGCTTCATAGACACACTGTTGTATTCATTTGGCAGAAAAAATGGTTCAGTCTAAAGTTTAAAACTACTAAAAGTCTGATAAAAATTATGCAAGATATAAAACATAGTAGTAAGTTTTTATTTGTAGAGTATGAAGAGTGCACACTGCAGTGTGCAAAGTCATAAATAACTGTAATATAAAATCTGTATTGTGGAAAGCCTGATGAGCACTTCTCCACACTAGTAGCTCAGTGCAATAGGTGCACATATAGAATGGACAGCTTGGGCTTTAAACAAATATGAAGACAACATGCTTCCTGACCTAGACAAATAGGACAAATAAAACGTGAAAGCAAGATACACTGGGGGCAGGCTTCATGTGATTTAAGGATGGATTTAAGTGAGCACAGTATCTCTCACAGCTCACAAAAAGAGGGGTTTGTTTCAAGGGTAAGACAGTATAGCATGAAAGAAGGCAAAAGCTGAGATGAAGTCCTTCCCCCTACCCTTCCCCAGTGTTCAGGCACCTGGGCCAGGTGTCTCTATACACTTGGGATCCAGGCCCACAAAGGCCCTGTGGAAGGTAAGCACCTACAACTGTTCTTACAAATAACTGAGGAAGCTTCCGGTTTCCCTTGGTTAGGGTGGTGTGACCCCACTCCTCCAACTTTTTATATAAACTTTTAGTGCTTGGCTTATACCCTAATAGTTAGAGTCTTTGTTCATGGACACCTCCGAACCCAGATTCTTCTGTTTGAGGGTTCAGATCCAGGTCTCTCGCCTCATACTGTCCAAGCACAGGTGGGCAGACCCTACACTCTTTTTGTGCAGACAGGAATGCAAGATTGTGAGGGTTAGATCAAGGTTGATGAGACCACTCCATAGCTGAGTGACTAAAGCAGCAACAAGACTCAGCTATATGGGGAGGTTTCTGGTCTCTGCTTTCAGAATTATTATTTTTTATCTAAATTGTTTAATGAACAATTCATAAACAGTCCTTGAAATAAAGGTAGGAATAGGCGTCAAGTCTGCCTAAGGTACCCACATCCTTTCTGAGGAATCTGGTGTTAAAGGGCTTTCCTCAAAAACCCTAATGACATTTACTGTAGAACTAGGGACCAAACCCAGATCTTCTGAGTCCTAATAAAGTGCCTTAACTATGAGAATTTTTCTCTCCTATCAAGAAGGATTGTAATGTATGCAATTATCTCATGAACACAGTTCAAAGAACAACAACATTCCTCATCACAATTTAACAGCTAAATCTGCTGGCTGTACAGGGACAGTTTTCAAAACATCACAGTGTCAGTGTCACTGTTGAGAAGCTATGAAAAACTAAACTCTTTCATAAGTGTGTCACACTTGTTTTTTTGCAATGCAAAGTGGCTCTGAAGGGGTAAATAAAGCAAAGACCTTTTCAGTATCCAGCTTGGGATAATATATCCATTATCTGCCCTTGCATTCTGGGAAACAGGCTGCAAAATCTTTTTCCAAAGTAGCTTTCAGAGTATTTTTATTCACTTGGGATATCTTTTTTGGCTATGCTTTCCAAAGTAAAGTGAAACCGAGTTGCTGCCTGTGTCTAACTACAAAATCCAGGGAAAAGGAAGAGTTGAAAATACAAACAAGCTAAAGGAAGATAACTATAAAGAATCCACTTCTGGGAACTTCGGCAAGCACAAGTACAAAGGGAAAGTTTAAAAATTAAAGGATGATTAATATATCCTATGGGTTTTGTCTTCTATATTACAAGTATTTTTACCTTGAAGGTTTTTTGTCAAGTCATTGACAAGCAGTAAGGGATGCTTTGTGGTCCAATTTCTACCTCCTGCTTATTAGTCAGGGATTTTCCATTCAACACGCCTATAAAACTGTATAGTCTTCTAAACAAGAAAATTTGCAAGGCTGTTCTTGCGCTAAACAGTCCAGCAGATGTCAGAGAGATTCTGTATTCCACAAAGCAAAAGTCTCTCTCACTGCAGTAGTGCTTTCCTCACTACTTCACTTGAGATCTGTAGTGAGCTGTTAAGTGTCCCAGTACTTTTTCTTCTGCAGTAGTTTTATATTCCAGCTTATATGATGAACAATTAACTCCTATGGAAAATGAAAAGCTGTTTTAAGTCTGAAACTGCTTTAGGCAGGATTGAGGGAGGACACAGAATAAGCACTGCATGAGAACTTGGCACATGAGCCATTTGGTGCTTACCTAAAATTCTGAGGGAATTACGTTGTATTCCAAAGTACAAAATTTGAACCCAGAAAAAAAATTCATTTTCTTTTGAACCAAAATCTGTTTTCAAAATGATAGCTCTTTTCCCAAAAAGGTTTGAAACTGAAGAGTGTAACTATTTCTATGTGAGGTTCACAAGGGGGCTCTGAATCTGTGCTAGTATTGAACTGGTATTCAAGTATCCAATGTACCAGACTGTGGGCACATCTACATGTGGAATTAATGCAATAATGGCTTACTGCGTAGTAAAATACTGCCCAGGAAGCGTTCCCAGTGGGTATGTCTACACACATGCTCCCTTTTAGAAGCAAATCTGCTTCCAGTGGGAGCAGCCTGGTGCAGGACTGCTCCAACCCTGCTCTGGCCCCTGCTTGGCTCCCATGGAAACTGGCAGCTGAGTAGCACCAAGATCAGAGGACTTCCCTGTGGCCCCCTAGTTTTGGGGTTGATGGAGCAAATTTGATCCTGGTCAAGCATCTACACATGCTACTGTGCAGTAAATGTGCAAACGTGTAGACTGTGGTGCTTTACTGCTCAGTAGATTAGTAAGGCATCCCATGTAGTTACACCCTGGGCGCATCTACATGCACGGACTGTGCAGTTGTTACAAGTGCAGTGAAGTGTTACTTTAAATCCCTGTCTTGGGTGTGAATTTGCACCTAGAAGCAAAGGGGAGAAAGTAATATACATTTTGACTATGTGGCTGAGCCAGCACTCTTTCATTATTAGTAGAAAGTTAAAAACTTCTTAAAACATAACATATATGTAAAGGAAAACAATGCATGACCATACTACTAGAGTTGTTAGAGCGAATAATAAAAGAGTGATCTTTACTGCTAGTAATACTTAATTATTGCTTTGCAGCTCTTCCTTGCGTTGTGGGGGAGTGGAGTCACTGGAGTGGTTGCGGAAAGCAGTGTAAACCTAATTTTCGAATGCGTAGGCGCTATGTGCAACAAGAACCTAAGAACGGTGGGGAACCTTGTCCTCCACTAGAGGAGAAGGCTGGCTGCCTGGAATACGTGACTTATGAAGGACAGAACTGCGGACATGATCACGGTAATTTCTCTCTGATTGACCTGCATCACCCTTACAGCTCATGACAGTTAAAAACAGCAGCTATTTATTTGCCACATTGACAATAAAGTTGTAGGTCCAGTCTATAAAATACAAATTAATTTCAGAACCTCATTTTTTACTTTCATGTAATTTTACAGGTACTTGCATTTCAGAAATTATTCAGTTTTTTTATTTGCATTTGTCCATCACAAGAAGCAGAGGTTTCCCCATAAGAGTTTTATTAAATTAAGAATTATAGACAAATTATCTTTTGTTTTCTTGACTGAAGCCTTTCAGAAGTGTTTGTCTAGTTTCCAGTACATTCTGTTAATCATTTATAGTTTGTCAGATATGTATAGAAAGCATTCATTATTTGATTCATTAAAAAAATATTCTGCATGCCCCATAACATACATGTTAGGCAGATCTACATCATGACAAGTGGAATGACATAATTAAGTATTTTTTCATTGAGAAATTAACCAGAAAATAAAATTGGGGAAGTGCTTAGTAAAAATAAAACAAAATAAGCCCATATGCTACATTTCATAAAATATTGCAGCAAGGAAATATGCTTGCTGTTTTTCATAGTAAGGTGATACCATTCTAGTCATGGGCAAGACCTTGTCTTTCAGTTAGTAGATTCCCCCTCAGGCCCGTCCCCCTTGAAGAGTAAAAAGATTAGTTTCCCTCAGCTGTGAAAGCAGCAGTGCATGGATGTACATTTTTTTCCTTCCAAGACTTTTTTCAAGATAGCGTGCAACATGTTTTCCCACAGCCAGGGCCCTTAGAAGGAAAGGGATCGAAACAAAACATGGAGAAAAAATATTCCTACTCTAAGAATACACCCAGAACTCTCTAGGCTAATGTGAAAGCATCCAAGAAATTAGATCCAAAAGGAAAATAGAACTGTGATCCAAGTCACTGAGGGGATTGAACAGATAGAAGGTTCAAAACAAGTAGTCTTGTTCCCATTTGGAAGACCACTCTCTAGAAGTATGAGACAGTACCAATCTTAATAAGATTTTAAAGTGAAAAGTGTATTTAAGAGCATTTTTCAACCTTCCTTTCTGTGTGGTCACTAAAGGCTATGCTATCCCCAAAAAAGCAGATCCAGTGTGCTGGAGATGAGATACCAATCACCTTCAGATGGGACATTAGTGCCTGAATAGGTTCTTGGAGCAGGTGTTGAATGGAATGCACCTCTGTTTGCACCATCTTCTTAATGGAGAATTGGATGCGAAAAAACATCAAAGGGGTTGCTGTAGGAAAACTGGGAGGAAATCTACAGCAAAGCTTTTCTGGGAGATGAAATAGCCCCATTCTTTTAGAGCAACTTGCCCATAGTATAGGCCTAGTTGCCTAGGCATAGGAAAGGCCTAGAGAGCTCCGTCTCCAGTAAGGCCTAGTATGGTCTATTTCCATTAAGTCCTTTGTAAGACTAAGCCTTAGCATTGAAACATCCCCTTCCTGTGTCACTGACAGACAATGGGATTCTTCCAGGGTCCACCAACAAAATGAATTTGCTTGTATCCTTGCAAACAAACTGGGCAGTCAGGAACAGTTATTTGATTGTGTTATTTGATTGTGCGCGCGCACACATAAACAGATGTACACACAAATCTGAGACCCTTTAAAATCTGACCTATAAGGTGACACTGGGTTCATCTACACATGCACTTTACTACGGAGTTGCCTAATTAACGCTGCAGTAAAGCATCACTGTCTATACGTACATCCCTATTGGGGTGCAGTAAATGAATTAACTCTGCTGTAGGATAGTACTGTCCAAGACTATAGTGGAGTTATTTAGTTATTTAGTGCTCTGAAACACATGTGTAGAGACTGTGACTGGCTGGGGCATGAGAGTGCTACAGTGCAGGGGCTGCCTGTTGGCTAGCCCCACACTGTAGCAGCCTCATGCCCTGGCCAGCCCCTCTGCAGCATGTTGAGCCGGGATGGAGCAGCTCTGGGCTGGCAGGCTGACCTCCTGAATTCCCTGCCAGGTGGGACTGCTCCTCCCCAGCTCAATGTGCTGGTTCTGTGTGCGCATGTAAAAACTGCACCCAGGAGTAATCAACTCCAGTAGAAACTGCGCCAGAGTTTATTGCTACATGCTAATTGCGTGTGTGGATGCACCCTGTGTTTATTTAAATACAAGTATGAGGGTATATCCTGCTAATTTGATGATTTACGTGAAACGATTAATAGCTTCAGTCTCTATCATCAACAAAAAAGGAAAAAATCCAACAGTCACACTAGGCAGTTTTTTTTAGGACTGAATAGGCATTACAACCTGTTCCAATTCTTCTTTTAGTCACTAATTTGTTGTGAGTAGATCCCCTGTGTTTCAAATATCTTTGGGCTCAGTAGTCTAGTCACTATTTCCAAATCTTTACAGTATGGTTTCAGAAACAAACTTGTCTGAGCCCTACTTAGGATATGCCAACTTTACAGCCCAGTTAGCCTTGGTCCCCTAATCAGTGCCTCAGCTCTCCTGAACTTGGTTGCATTCCCCAGAGTTCTGCCAAGTTCCACCTGGCTTCTAGTTTAACCCTTCATGGAAAATGTAACAGAAACACACATCTGAGGTTAGCATTTAAGGCTACAGAGTTGCTCCTGCCCAAGTGGCAGCAGATGTTGCTTCCTCCTTTTAAATACAGCTTTCCCACTGGCTAGTGGTACTCTTCTCACCTCACACTGGATTCCTATATCGAGTCTGTCGTCTCAAAGAGATGGGCTGGTAGTTGATTTAGTTAATGGCCTTATACCTAGGGACCTACTTAAATTTGTGATTTCACAGAAACTGAAATCGGGTATTGCTCACGAAATCAAAAACCTTAGTTAAAACAAAATGCTGGCTCCCCAGTGGCAGGAAGCGGGAGGGGTGAGGCTGCAAAGAAGAGCAGCCACAATGATGGTGCCTCCCTTCCCTCCCACCACTGATTAGGAAAAGGCTGTTGGTCATCCAGCTCTGCCCCACTCTACCAATCAGTGGCAAGGGGCAGAGCCACACAATGGACAGCCTTCTTGGCCAAACAGTGGCGAGGGGTGAATTCACTGTGCAAAGGCCACAAAATTAGCTCCATGGGCAACAAGCAGCCTGTAAAAATCCCTTTCACTTGTCATGACCATGGATCTGGGTTTTCCATTTCCCACAGAAAAATGGAGTACGGTCAGAGCTCAAGTCTGCAGCCTGCACCTACCCCAGGTACAGTTCTGGGAGGTGCGGGGCCCCCCATCCCCCTGGGAGTACACATAGCAGTGGGGAGCCAGGGGGCTGCAGACCTAGGTCCGTAGCCCTGGCAGCTGGGTACCCCCTCCAGCAGGGCTGGGAGGTCTGTGAGGAGTGAGGGGCATCAGCAGAGCTAGGGTGCTTTGAATTTTAAGAAAGGATTTTAGGTTTTTCAGCAGAGAATTTGTTATTTTTTGATCAGGGAAAACCAGGATCTCTGATCATGACTTAGGTAAATCCCTACTTATACATTGAGGGGAGGGGGGCAGCATTTTTGGCAGGTGTTACAAATTAGGCCACATACCCTCCCTGAGTGCCACTCCAAGCCCCTTCTCCTAGCTGATCTGCTATGCTGCTTCCTATCCTGTGCTCCAAGCCCAGCTTGCTGCCGTTTTCTGCTTCTTGCCAGTGCTGGATGCCTCCTCCCCAATCTGCCACATGCCACACCAGGAGGCTGCCTGCCCATGCTACTTGTGGCACATGTACCACAAGTTGACCACCTGTACCCTATACAGTGATCACAGTGCTTTCTTAGACAGAGTCCTTTGGTGCAGTGTTTCCCAAACAGTGTGCCACAACACAAAAGTATGTCATCAGAAATTAACAAGTATGCCACAGAATTTTGCCATGGCAAGGTGCTACAATAGGTATGAGGATGGTGTACCACAGAAAAGGTTTATTAATGTAAGTGTGCCTTGGGGTGCAAGAGGTTGGGAAACACTGCTTCAGTAAAACGTCAAATACAGGACAACCAAATGAGCTCAACATTTGAAACAAATGGGGCACATCCCCACGAGTGTGCACATGCATTTTCCTGGTGACACATAGCAGTGGCATATAGTTGTGCCATTGATACTTGCCCACAGGGAATGCTCCAGCATGCATGCTTTGGCATGTGGCAGATTGCCCCAGGTAGGGTAGGGGAGGCTGGGGCCAGCAGCAGCAACAGCAATCTGGGCTTGCAGAGCCTGGCCAGTAGCCAGAATGTGGCTCTAGCTGGCCAAGCTCAGTTTCAGGTGGCACATACTGCAGCCATGTGTGCTGCCCCATTTCTTGGGAAATCTCAGTATCTAAAAAAACCCCACAAAAAAACAACAACAAGAAAAAGAGGGTCCAATATCTATTTTTGGCTCCGTGCTACAAATATGCAGCATGGAGATCCTTATCATGTATAGTTTGTGCGCATGTTCCCGCTCATCTGGATGTGTCCATGAAGTCTACAATTTGACCTAAGAATCCTACAGTTTCACAAGCTGCACAATTTCTAAGGCAGTTCCTCACAGATCTACAGCAGGGAAAAGTGAAAATATTTGATGGAGCTGTATCCATTTTCAAATAAACCAGTGAGCTCAGTCTGACCCTTTTCATGAGCTGCCATTTTGCTCAGACACACCTACACACTAAGTTGTAGCTCTATTTTGTTTTACTGTTCTCTCATAGAATTTATGGTTTTAATAATAGACCTATTATTTTCTCCCAGTTCCTGCTTTCATAACAACCTTTGAATACAGTAAGGAGAGAAAAAGACGAGCAGCATCTCCTCTATGGTCTTCAGACACAGAAGAATCCAGGTAATTTAATTAGCAAATGAATTTGGGCATCTTGTTTAGTTTTTGATTACATAGTAAAACCTTAACTTGCAGTAATTTAAGGGTAGCATATATCCCCAAGACATTTGTCTACTGCTTTTTCTTCCGAGGGCATTATTATTTTTTGGGTCAGTTGAGGTCTACTTTTGATTTTTTGTTTTGGTTTCCTAACAGTCCTGATATAGACATTTATTGAGATCATGGAAATTTTAGTGTGGCTGCCTTTAAAAAGAAAGGTTAAAATAAAAAGTAAAATAAATCTGTAATGATGAGAAGCCTGAGAAGTTAAACATAGTTCTCTGCATAAACAAGATGGATAGAATACTACTACTCCCAGGGGCTGCTTGGTTCAAAGTGATGGCAGTAGCAGTGAAATACATGGCTCAGATCTCCGAAATTAGTTATTTAATTTGTATTAGCCTTGCAGCATGTCTTAAGGCTTTATCCTGTACTGTTTTCACTGGGCCGCTAACCCAATAAGTATACCAAAAACATTTAGACATACAAAACATTTTCTTATATTGTTAACAGACTGCCAAAAGGAGTAATTGAGAAATGCGTTCATCTACTTGAAGGATATAGGTTATAGCTATGTTAGTCCAGAGGCAAAGGCATTCAAAACTCTTGAGGAAGAAGTAATAGCTTTTATTAGGCCAACTAGATAGTTGTAACATTTTTTGTTTGTTTGCAAGCTTTCAGGCTTTAACACCCTTTTTCAGGCAAAGAAGTCAAAGATTGTACAAGATTGACTTCATGCCCTGAAGAAGGCAGTTTGAGACCAAAAGCTTGCAAAAATAAATAAATAAAAAAATAAAATTAATTTGCAACTATCTAGTTGGTCTAATAAAAGATATTGCCTCTTGCTCAAGAGTTTTGGATGCCTTCATCTACTTGACTATTTCAACATAATTTAAAGCAGAGCATAATCAGAAATTGAGATAAAATACAGAAGCTAGAAGTGAGCACAGAGTACAGTAAATTGGTTGTTGTTTAGCAGATGTGTTAAGTAATTGGTGACTCTTAGAAGATGCTTATTATAGCTAACAACTGCATCATCACAGTACTTTTTGTGGATGTAGAAGATACGAACCACACTTAAGCATACATGACTAACGCTAGTTAAATTCATACTGTATTTTATCTCTCTGTAAGCAGCTATTGTGTGGAATTTAAAACTGAGTCACTCTCTCACCACTGTACTCTGGAGAATCGTCCTTATGCTCGGTGGATGCAGTATATAAGAGAAGGGTACACAGTATGTGTAGCTTGCCAACCTCCAGCTATGCAAAGTGGCAATCATCGTTGTTCTGGAGATGGCCTTAATGCTGATGGGTAAGACACAGGAGTTCTCTGTTCTAACCAGTTTCTCTAAAATTAATAACTAACATAGGGATGGAATTCTGATTTCAGGATCTCAACCTATACAACTTTGATAACTATCGAAGGATACTGATACAAGCGGTTAAAATGTAATAGTTACTTCCACATTATTCTGTATCTATACAAGCATAGCAAAATTGCTCCAGTTTTCATCTGTCTTCATCCAGGGTCAAAGTTGGGGTGACTTAGTTAGACACTATCAAACCACGCAGATGTAACATTTAGATCTGAACAGCAATTCCCTTCCCCCACCCCTCCTTCCCAACTTCTTTTAAAGGAGCTAAAGGTAAATGTGTGCACACCCTCATTTGCCTTCTACTTAGAGACAATGTAAGAATTGTCAGCATTAAGACAATGGTTGCGTAAAAAAATATGAATAAAAAGCAAAAATAGACCAGCTTGCAGCTACTTGAAGAATGAGACCTCTCCATTTTAATCTGACCCAGAAAGAACACCTTTGTTCCATTTTCAAATTTTATCTGAGGCTACACAATAGAGTTTGTTTTATTTACAGTAGCTGGAAAAGCCAATGTTAATAATTAACCCGTTCAGTAAGTGCATATTAGGACTTTTTGTGGACAAATATCCTTGGTGTCACAAAACCAAATTTAGTGGGTTGATAGCTTTATTTTTATCTATGAAGGAAGGAATGGAGCTGCTTCCTTTAAGGCTCCTTTGTGAAGCTGCATCTACATGTGCTATTCATTGAAAGTCGGCTTACTGCTCAGTAACAATACTGTGCAGTAAGCCTACCCAGAAGCATGTTTACACATGCTCCCTTTTGGGAGCAGATTTGCTCCCAGTGAGAGCAAACCGGCACAGGGCTGCTCCTGCCCTGCTCTGCCTTTCTGCAGCAGCCAGGGGGAGGTCCAGGCTCCCCCTGTGCTGGCAAGTGGCATAGTACCATTTCTAGTAGGCACCAGGCCAGGAGAGCTCTGCCAACAGCAGCAGCTGTCTCCTGGCGCTGTTCACATTGGGAGGGGACCACTTTAGTAAGGCAGAGCTCTCCTGGCCCCGTGCTCAGCCAGACACAAAGCTGTCAGCAAGCTCCATGCCTGGTGGGGCTTCAGTGCTCAGCAGGCAGTTGCTGGGAGCTGTCCAGGTAGGGGGAAAGGGTTGGATTCCCAGCCCTCACCAGTCCCCAAGAGCAGCTCTGTGCCGCGCCAAGCTGGCTGCTCCGGGGAGTGGGCAGGAGTTGGGAATCTAGCCCTCACCTGTCCCATACAGCTGGCTGCTCTGGGGAGCAGGTAGCTGAGCAGCACCAGTATCAAGGACAGAGTAATCCCTGTCCCCTGTGGCCCCCATTGGCTAGGCTGACTGGGAGCAAGTTTACTCCTGGTCAACATCTACGCACGTGTTACTGCACAGTATCTACTGCGTAGTTAGTTTACTACCCATATTTACAGTTGGTAGCTAATGGTGCTGTAGATTAATTTACTGAGTAGTAAGTGTGAGCATGCGTAGACGGTGATGCTTTACTGTGAAGTAGACCAATCTACTGCACAGTAAAGGCATCTTGTGTAGACACACCCACAGGTTTCTACATGACTCCTTCAAACAGCATACACTTAATAGGGTAACCAGAACAACGACTCTGAAATAAGATGTTAGGTATTTGGAATCACTTTTAGTCAAACATGTGTTTAGCATACATTAGCTTATATCAATGCCTAAACACTCCAAAAAGCTTACAGTATAAGAATAGAAGATGCATTATGGAAGCTAGGCAAATAAATAAAATCTAAACAAGGCTGACATGCTACCAAGTACTTTTATTTCATATGAAATCTTATAGCTATATTTCTATTTACAATTTAAATAAATTACTGAAAAACCTACTTGGTTATTTATCAATCATTTACTGTGTTATGTTTCAGAAATAAAGTTCTCCACTGGCAAGCAGTTGGCAATCCGCAGTGCCAAGGAACATGGAAGAAAGTGCGGCAAGTGGAGGAGTGTTCCTGTCCTGGTGTGCATAGTTTTATTTTTACATAAAAAATAATTTGTTTATAATAAAGAACATTTGTGAATGTTAAAAACCAATGTAACACTCTGAAACCAAAAATTAAAAACTACACTTTTCTGCTGTATTTGCTGAACTTGGAACAAGAAAGACTTTGGGAGATATTCCGATTTGTGCCTTGACCCTCGTTCGTATATAGGAATTAACATGAAATTTTCTACTTCTGAATGTATTAGCTTCCATTTCTCTCTTTTGTAATTAAAGACTGAATTCTTCCAACTGGAGCAATTTCACTTCTTAACAACTTAATTCCTTGCAGGACAATCTTGTAGGAGTTGCAGTAAGAGCGGCATCACCACATGTCCTGGTTTGGCCACAACGCACAGAATTTAGTCACCTGGTCCCAGACAGTTGGTCAAAAAAGTCCCAGGCCAGCATCTGGTTGGGAGGTGGTGCAGCATGGTGCACCAGGCAGGCAACACCACTTTTGTGCAGGAAAAAGGATGTGCCATGTGTGGGTGGGTTGGCACCTACTCCAGCCCACCCATTTTGCTCCCACACAGGAGCAGTGGTGCCTGCTCAGGACCTGCCTGGCACACCATGCTGCTCCACCTCCCCACTGGACTCTGGCCTAGGACTTTTGATCAACTGGCCAGGACCAGACTACAGAATCCTGGACTGTCCTAGCTAAACTGGGACACATGTCACCAGGCTGCCTTTTTCTATCAAGTACTTTCACCATAACAGTTCTAGTAGATTACAGTGGACAGGATAGAGGCTAAATTACATCTCCAATCAAATCCTGTATCCCTTTAATAGAAAAACAAAATCTAAACAGACCTTACTGAATGTAACTATTTCGGGAAGGTGAATAAACACTTTTTGTAGTCCTCTTCTTCAATACACACAAACATCTTTGTGATAGTGTAAAACTACTTGTTATGCATGGGGAAAAAAAAAACCTCAAGGACTTCAAGAAACAACTCAAAGAGGGGATTTTTCTGGCAAAGAGTCCTAAACCAAGCTCCTACAAAGTCAAATTATTAAACCAGCTTTTCTGACAAGTCTAAAGACAGATTAATTACAGAAGTAGTTATTTGCTATAGTAAACTAACAGCCTGTCAGACACTGAGTTCTTCCAAGATCAGAAGACAGAACAAGCATATTAAGACCCTGTCCACACTAGCATAGTAATATTTTTTTTTAAAGTACTTTTTACTTTACTATTAGTTTCTCTGTTAGGGCCTGGCTATGTAAGTGATCAGCAGGGATCCTAGTTCTCTCCGATTTAAAAAAAATCCCCAATTTTTAGTTCAAGTAACCCCAAATCCACATTTTCCTGCAATTTAAATGAAACACCACTAACATATAGATAAATAAATATATAGCAATGTTTCATTTTAATCATGGAAAACATGGATTTGGGGTTATTTAAAAAAAAAAAATCCCCAATTTTTCGTTAAAAAAGTAACCTCAAATCCATGTTTTCCATGATTAAAATGAAACATTGCTATATATTTATTTATCTATATGTTAGTGGTGTTTCATTTAAATCACAGAAAAATGTGGATTTGGGGTTACCTCATTTAACTAAAAATTGGGGATTTTTTTTTTTTTTTTTAAATCAGAGAGAACTAGGATTCCTGGTGATCAATTTGTTGTCACTGGATTTATGATACAGATACCTTGTTCCAGGACCCAAAGCCTCAGATCAACCATGACCTCTCCATTTGATAATAGGCAAATTTTATTGATACACAGTGATAGCAGATAAGCATAATGCGAACAATTCTATATCTACCAGTCCCAGGGTTCACAGAATCAAGGTACATTTGACTAGTATGCAAGCTTCACTCTGAGGTTCTTTCTTGAATGTCAGATGGCAGCAGGCTGGAGGTTGAAGGTTGAGGCTTACCCCCCACCCCGCCGGCAGAGTGGGCGAGATGGGCTGGTGATGTGTCCTCAGACCCTGGTGGCCTCGGGTTCCCTTCTCAGGGACTTTTCAAATCCCTCCTTTTGTATTTTTTCCCCCCTTCTGATAACTCTTTACCTCTGGGCATCATTGATCAGTTTCCCTGTGGTAGTCACACTGTCCACGTTCTGTCCTGTCAGCATATTCCTTTATTTTGCAAACCTATCACATACACGCATCCTAATTTGGGTTTTACCAGTTTCTTCTAATTTGGTCTATCTACCAAAACTGGAAATGCCCAGGGTCCTGCAGTTAGGCACTGTGAACTGGTGCCACCTTATCTCATGTTATGGAACAGTATGGTATGTCTTAAATTTCCCAGCCTGCGTCTGCTTGCCTGCATCAGACGAAGTAGACCTTGAAAAACGCTGTCACAAACAGGCTTTTAGAAATCAATTAACTTTTGCTCTTATCCTAGACCATTGTTCTAATGCAATAACTATTTTACGTACAAGACAATTTCCAAAAGCAAACCTCTAAATATCATTTTCTAGCCACCAAGACTAAGCCCGTGATACCATACTGCCTTCTGGGCACTAGTTGTAACCATGGGCATAGCTTGCAGGGATGGAATTGATAGATTGAAATGTTTTAATTGCTACTTAGAAAAGGAAATAAAGGGCCAGCAAGACAAACAACCATGCCTTTAAAACTTTCCAAAAAGCAACTGAAATACAGGGTGGGGATGGAGGCAGGGGAGGCGGTATTTTTTTGCATACCAGATGCCTCCAACTCAGTCAGTCACCTTGTTTTGGGAAGGCAAAAAGTAAGGGGGAAAAAAAAAAGATATTTTACTATGTACATCATAGTAATACACTACCAAACCACACTAGACAGATGGATGTACTCTAGAAATGAGCAGTTGGGCTGCACATTCCAAGTCTTGTTGACTAATCGATGGAGCCCTACATAAAGAGTCAAGGTTGCTACTAATCAAGTGGGAAGTAGTAGTAAATGTGGATGAAGTAAGTACCAGGTATGACCACATGTGTTACTCTTATCTCCCTGTTCTAGGCCACTTTTTTTTCCTCCTTTGGAAAAAGAATTAAGATGTACAGTTACATCAGTTCTGTAGGTGATTTTAAAATAGTATCCTTCCAACAGATTAAAGTTGAGTCTTAAAAATAAAAGTTAACAAGAAGTCCTGCTTCCAACTGCTACATGGCACCATTATAAAACAAAGTCATTTAGAAGTGGAAAAATGCGACGTGAATTTTAACAGGCGCACACACCTGCCAAAACCCCCCCAAAAAACCGGTAAAAGTCCCTTCCTGTATAATTAACGCAAGCCTTACAAAACCTTAGTTTGGTGGACTCACGTCTGCAGATAAGTCTACAAGCTTCTTTGACCAAGACACCTCAAAAACAAAATGCTAGACAAAGATCAATCATATTAGATTAGATTAAAAAAAAAACAAAAAAAAACAAAATCAATGTGATTTACTTTAATGATAAACTAAAAATGGCTGTAGGTGCTAGCCTTTACAAGACGCAATTATCAAAGTACTTTGTATACAGTGCATCTCTGTACGACTAAAGATAATACCTTGCATGAATTAGAATTTTATTTGAAAACAACCAAACTCCCTCTCAAAGGCTAAAAACACATAACAGTACAGATAAAATATTAGATATAGAGGTGCACCAACACATCAGTCCGTTATCAGATTGGCACCCGTATAAAGAATTTTTTCTATATTGGAAATTGGCTCAATGCGGCTGATAATTTGTCTGATAAATGCCTGTGTGTGTGTTCTGCCTCAGTGCAGCACCAAGGCAGTGAGGAGCAGAGCTGGCAGCTTGGAGGGCTGCGTTCAGCTGGTAAGTCTGGTGTCGTAGAAGGGGGAGGAGGCGGCAGATCAAGGCCCCCACAGTGAGGGAGGGTGTGGGGTTGGGGCAGGTGTGGGACGAAGGCGTGGCTCGGGGGGGCGGGGGTGGCTCCCACCTCTGTGTACAGCTCATCTAGTGCTCGTCTGGCGGCTCCTGCTACTGCTCCCACTGCTTGGGGGGGGGGGGGGGGGGGGGGGTGGGGGTTTTCACCCTTGTGAGCATGTTCTTCTTCTAAGGCACACAATAAGATGTTATAGCTTTGTCTTCCCTCATTTCAGTGTCAATCTCACCTACCACAACTTTGATGGGAGTAATTAAAGGAGTGTTCACTTAGTTTTAATAATGAGCATCAGTAATGCCCACTTACAACAAGTGTAACTTGGCTAGCCACCAGCTGTATGTCCCTCAACTGGCTCTCCCTACACATTCTTGATTCACTTATCAATCCTGCAATGAACACTCATGGGGTGGGCATTTGGAAGCCCACCCTGTTTATCAATTCACAGCAATGAAGTCCTTGACATTGATCCGGATGGAGCTGCAATCATCCGGCTAAGTCAGCAATTCATCTTCCAACAGTCTGGATGCCCGACACTCGCCACTTCAACAAGAAATCCTTGGCGAATCTCTCTCTCATTGCCTGCACCTCCGCACAGGCTGCTTGCCGTCTCTGGCATCTAAAGCCTTGGCTCTTCTTCCCCTTCTGGGAAGTGCTAATCGCACCGACAGTCTTTTATACAATGTTTCCACCCAGCTGTTGTCAATCTCCAGTTGTCCGCCGCCAGCCAGGAAGACTCAATTGGCAATTAAGCCTTTTGTTATCCCAATCTGATTGAACACCTCATTGCTGTCAGCAGGTAATGAATACTTCCCCAAAGTCCATAGTGGGTATTTAGCATCCTGGATGGGTGAACAGTCAATATGTTGCCCAGTTCCATGGATTGGACAGAAAGTTCTCAACAAAATGGGTGCTTTTCCCAGACATTCCCGTAACAGGGGCAGTCTCCCCCTGTTACAACCCTATAAAATTAGGAGCATGCAACATTTTGAATTTAAGAGTCCAAGGGAAAAAAAATCTTTCTGATCTCACAGGGATGCTTGGAATCTGGAGAGTGCTCATCACCTGAACAAAACTAATGATTGTGTATCAATGCTATTCCCTCAGAAATGTAAAGCCACTTAGACGTACTTTACTCTCAGACCCTTGGGTCTGTCCCTTATTCCCCAGCATAAAAATAGCTCATTATCCCATTTGGTCATCACACAGAGAGCACTAAAGAACAGCTCAGAATTAATTCTCCACTTTCCAGCTACAGATGGTGGATAAACTCTGGCTTGCATCCATAGATGCTTCTCAAGCAAATCCCGGGACATCATTCTCCCCCTGAACTCGGCCTTAGTGAGGCCGCAGCTGGAGTACTGTGTCCAGTTTTGGCCTCCACAATTCAAAAAGGATGTGGAGAAGCTTGAGAGAGTCCAGAGAAGAGCCACGCGCATGATCAGAGGTCAGGGAAGCAGACCCTACGATGACAGGCTGAGAGCCATGGGGCTCTTTAGCCTGAAAAAGCGCAGGCTCAGGGGTGATCTGATGGCCACCTACAAGTTTATCAAGGGTGACCACCAGCATCTGGGGGAACGTTTGTTCACCAGAGCGCCCCAAGGGATGACGAGGTCAAATGGTCACAAACTACTTCAAGATCGTTGCAGGCTGGACATAAGGAAGAATTTCTTTACTGTCCGAGCCCCCAAGGTCTGGAACAGCCTGCAGGTCAAATGGTCACAAACTACTTCAACATTGTTTCAGGCTGGACATAAGGCAGAATTTCTTTACTGTCCGAGCCCCCGAGGTCTGGAACAGCCTGCCACCGGAGGTGGTTCAAGCGCCTTCATTGAACACCTTCAAGATGAAACTGGATGCTTATCTTGCTGGGATCCTATGACCCCAGCTGACTTCCTGCCCTTGGGCAGGGGGCTGGACTCGATGATCTTCCGAGGTCCCTTCCAGCCCTAATGTCTATGAAATCTATGTCCCCAGACCTACCCGGCGGGGAAGAGCCCAGCCCTAGCCCACCCGGCTCCATGCAGATCTGGGGGTACACGCCTCCCTCCCAGACAAGCAGTGGGAACAGCAGCAGAAGCCACCAAATGAGCACTGGTGGAGTCACGTGCAGGGGCAGGAGCCACCCCCCGCCTTCCTGTACCCCCTGACAAGCTGTGCCTCCACCCCGCGCTAGCTCCAGCCCGCAGCTGCAGCCCGCCCCACACCACACAGACCTAGGTGGGCACACACCCCGCCCCCCAGATGAGCTGCTTGCAGCCGTCCCATGCCCCCCCCTGCCCCACCTGATCAGTGCCTGCCCCAACCCCATTCCTTCTCATCACAGGGGCCTTGATCTGCACCCTCCCACACCCTCTCTCATCCACCACACCAGACTTACCAGCTGGACACAGCTCTTGAAGCTGAAGGATTGCGTATTGGAAATTGGATTGGTATCGGTAAACATACCTCCTTAAAAATCAGTTATCGGTATTAGCCCCCAAAATCTCTATCGGTGCACCCCTAGATAAAATACCCATTGTTGCATTACATCATATAAATACTTAAAAATAAAAAGTTTACACATTACTGTTCAGGTTGCAGTTATGGAACCTGTTTGTACTAACACTGAAGGATGTTAACTGTTCTGAAACTGAACTTTGTCCAGTTGAAACAAACCCAAGTACTTTTTGCTCTGCAGAATCACTTTCTTTTAATATGTTTAATATTTTGAAGAAGACAGGAGTTAATAGTGAACTTTTATCATCACTTTTATTTTACACAACTGCTTTTAACTCAATACACAGGGAATTATTTCAAAATAATTTCAATGGCCAAAAGACAAACCAAGATTACTTGGAAAGAAGAGGCAGGTAATTTAAAAATAATTTTCTTGGATAAAACTTAGTAAAAGTTAATGCTTTTCCTTACATCAAAGATACCTTATGTTGCTTAATCATAGTTCTCCACCTATCTTTTAACATGACACCAGTTCGATTGTTGAAGTCATAATGGATCAGAATTTTAGCCCAGTTTCCCATGCCAAACTTCTTTACTCCTTTCTCCAATTTCTTATCTTCTTCCAAAGTCCATCGCTTTAATAAGAGAATACACATTAAGTTTGATGTAGGAAGCTTAAATTCAACAGTTAGTATAAATACTGGTAATGAAACTATTTTCAGAAATTTATATATTGCAACTTCAATACTCTTCCATTATGTTGGGAAATTTACGCACAACTTCTGCTATTGGATATTACTAGCTAGTGTAATGATAGGTGACAGTGGAGTACTGTGCAGACTTCAAAAGTGAGCCTGCTGGGAAGTGAAGGTATAAAAAGAATGGCAAAGTTCTATTCAGGTATGAATATGGGCCACACACACAACTGCTTTTAAAGATCAGAACCTTAAAGAATGAATGAAACTAGCCTAACGATTACCTGTTATATCAGGGGCGGGCAATTATTTTGGGCAGAGGGCCGCTTAATGAGCCATCGAGGGCTGCGTGACAGGCAACCCAGGGCAGATAAATATTGATTTTCTAAATTTTTTAGGGGCCCTGCGGGCTGGATAGAATGGCCTGGCATGCCGCATCCAGTCCCTAGGCTGCATTTTGCCCACCCCTGTGTTACATATTTTAGAGCAGGGGTCAGCAACCCCTGGGATGTGTACCAGAGCATGGCACATGAGGCCATTTTGTTAGGCATGCCACACCAGCCCGGGTTCTGGGCAGCTGCTGCCAGCCATAGAGCCCAGACTGCTTGCAGCAGGTGGGAGGCTACAAGCCCTGCTGGAAGCAGCTCAAGCTCTGTGGCAGGCAGCTCAGAGGCTGCAATCAGTGCATCAGGTCTGGAGCCCTGGCCTGGCTCTGTGGCCGCTAGTGGTTGCACATGTGCCATGCAGTGCATGGCAGGGAAGGGGCCTGTAGCAATGCAACCCCAGCCCCCTTTCCGCAGTGTGCCCTGACTTGTGCATGCAGCCACCACTGCCGTGGAGTTGAGTGCAGCTGTTTGCAGCCTGCCCTCTGCAAGCAGCCTGGGTTCCATGGCGGTGGCAGCTGCACACTTAGAAGCTGCTGGCATGACAGATGGCAGGGGAGCTGCGAGGGGCCCGATCCTTGTGGCAGCACAGCCCTGACCTCTTCCTTGCAATGCTCCGTGAGGCATATGTGAGCTTCTACCAGCAACGAAGCTGGCCAGGGCTCTGGACCCTGGTGCAGTTCCTTGTTGTAAGCAGCTTGGGCTCTGCCCAGGCCCTGGTTTGCAGCAGGCAAGCCACAAGCCTACAAGTCTCCCAGGAGGGATTACCTGGTAGCAGGTTTTGCAACATGGGGCACATTTTAATGCATCAAGCATGCAGTTTGCAGCACCATAAACCACATGCACCTCCACATCTGGATCCAGCCACCTTTTTCTGCTAGGAACTAAGCAACAGTAACAGCTTGCAGATTCCAAATATGATTCTATCTTCTCTTCCCCTGTTCTATGGCAATTTATATGGAAAAATGGTTTTCATATGTTTATACATTGATATTTTTTCACTCTGAGCTCTGAAGTGGTAAAGCTGCTTTGAAAATGCTACCAAAAGCACAATTTTATAAAGCACTGCTGGCAAACAAAAGCTGTTTCCAAACCCTTTCTTACTTGTGTTATTATGTAACTGGTACCTTCCGGTAGCTACCAATAAGCATAAATGAGTCCTAATACAACTGCTATAAAAACAGGCACTGTTCTTATGCTTAAAAAAAAAAAAAAAAGAAGCAAACATAAATGAAACAAATTTAAATGGAAATATGTAAAATTATCAAGCTTCTCTAGTTTGCTTAAATCTCCTTCCAAAGTTTATTCCTAAAATGTTGGATGAACTTCACTTAAAAAAAAAGTTAACAAAAAAAACATTAAAAAAACCTGCTTCGAGAATTTAAGGTAAAAGTGCACAAGACACTGCTAGGCTGTGCAACTGCCCTGTAGTGAAGTTTTGACATTTACCAACTTTTTGAAAAAGGCTCAAACCAGCACAGTCTGTGTAAAGTTTGTTACAAATGGTTAAGTTTAAGACAAATGTTATGCTTTCAGAAATACACACTGCAGATTCTGCATGTACAATCTGATGATTCTACAACTCTACTAGGCGCATAAATATCCAGCTTGTATGTATATATGTTTTAAAGGAGGGACAAAAAGTTATTGAATGCTTAGCCAAACATACATGCTGTTAGCAATTATCTGTTTTTATCAGTTTTAGAGTCTTTATAGCAAATAATTGCCTTACCAAAAATGGTAGCCTCTAGGAGAAAGCATTAGGTTTTGTACATGCAGAACTGGTAGTATTATTGGGTTGGGTTTTTTTTGGTTGATCCTCATTTTGAACTTCCTTTCAGTTCTGCCAAGCAGGTTCAACAGTATCTTTCATATTTGTATTCTGTATATCAGATTATTTATCTTCTGTGGACAGTTATGTAAAAGACGACCCTGAAGCTGCAACAGACCAAAGCCAGAAATTGAGCCCAGGCCTTCTAGCTACTCTACCATCCGCATTCCCGTAATGAAGTGCATAATGAACAGGAACAGTCTACTAGGGCTGTGCGAAACGGCTCTATTCTGATTCGGCCATTTTGGAGGGACAGCGATTCAATTCGGTGTTTTGGATCACTGTTCCAATTTGATTTGGCCGAAACTGTTTTGGAATTTCTACGCTGTGTCAGAGATTTGGGCATAGACTACCATGGGGAATCACTATATTACCTATAACTTTGTCATTTTTTGCCTGATTTGGATGAAAATTGCAGGGATAGTAGCCCCTTCTGAGGGAATGAAGCCTGCCAAGTTACAAGGAGGTAGGTGCACGGGTTTTTGTGAAACTGCACCTCAAACTGTTCAAAGCAAATCTTGTATCACTTGTCAGCAGCGGCAGCCTGCTGTCATCCCACATGCAGATCCAGGGGCCCACGCCTCCCCGGAGGGCTGCAGGGCTGTGCCAGGCTCTTCCCCGGGGGGCATGGGCCCCTGGACCTGCGCACAGGATGACAGCAGGCAGTTGCTGCTGGCTAAGGCCAGCACCAGCACTGGGTTCTTTCCGGTACTCTGTGCGGGCTGCTCTGAGCAGACTCGGGTGCTGGCACTGGCTCCAGATGTCAGCAGCAGCCTGCTGTTATCACGCACGCAGATCCGGGGGCATGTACCCCGCAGGAGGGCTGCAGGGCTGTGCTAGACTCCTCCTGGGGGGCACAGACCCCCAGATTGGAATGTGGGATGACAGCAGGCTGCTGTCCCTTCCCCAGAGCACTGAGATTGGAACGGACCTCAGGGAAAGATCAGACACTGGCCAGCTAGAGATGTCAATATCAGAGCAGTGCTGCCGCCCCCACCCCCCCGCGGCGCAAATCTTTCCCCTCCCCCTTAGATTTTGTTTCCCTGCAAGCCTGGCCCCAAAACTCTGAAATGTTTTGGATGCTTTTGTTTCATTTCAGAGCTTCTTCTTGGCCTTCCATTACGATTTGGTGTTTCGGGAGCTGAAACACATCCAAAACAAAACAGATGCTGAAGTTTCGCACAGCCCTACCATCTACACATACAAATGTCACATTAAGTCCTTTGGTTAGTGGCACACTAGTAGCTTATGTTCGGCTGAATATGCATCAAGGGCCTCCAAATCCCCAGAAATCCTCTCTCAAACCTATATCTTATTATACTAAACACAAAAAATAGTCAAATTTGAAATCGTTGTTCAGGCAAGAAGCCATACTGAATTTCAATTTGGACTTGTTGGTAAAGGACTTACCATACAATAGCTATAGAATTGAGCTCCTGTAATGCCCTAGGCCATAAATAAAAGAATGACACTTGTATCTGTAGAAGTTCAATTTACAATGAAAGTCTTTAGAAATTAGAGAAGATTCTTTCAATAACATTACATCAGACTGAAATATGTAGCAACAAAAAGCTGAAACTGGGCACTGAACCATTGCAATGAAGTTCTATTTACAAAAACATGAGTGAACAAAGCCAACATTGAAAGGGAGACTGCATGGAAGAGGGAGTCAACAACCCTTTCTGTGACATTCACAGAATTCTTTCATGCATGCAGACAGTCTTATATAATCCACATAACTATGTGATGAGCTGATTCAATTTCAGAACTTATTGCAATAATTCTCGTCAATGAATACATATTGTACAGAAAGCAAGGAGACAGAATATACTTGGAAGTTAAAGAAAAAGGATATTTAAAATATTAGTTCCTTTTTATTTTGATAATTTATAAGTCTAGAAAGTAATTTCCCACCTACTATTCCGTTTTGTAGCTCCATATATTTGTGTTTCTGCATTTTGAGTACTCCCAATTTATGACATAGTTGGCAACTTTGGCCATCATAGTCTGGTTTCCGAGAGGTCTGTATGCAAATGTAACGTCTGAAAATTATGTAATTGAGTACTAATGCACTACTGAAAAAAGGTAAGTGTGCAATATGCCATGTTACTGAGACAGTGGGCAATGAAAGTGTAATGTCAGGTGTCCAAGTCACAAGCAGTTTTTGCCACATTCACCAGCAATGAAATCAACAGAAAAGAAGCCACTTGCTTAATCAAGTTGGCTATGTTTTTGGAAGGAAGGGGTATATTTTAAGGTAAACAGTGTCAGGGCACTCATAGCATTTGTACACATGCTTGTGGCACAGCGCCAGGTGCTTTTAAAAGTGCCCAGTACTGCAGGACATGCATTTGTATAAACAGTGAAATGTGCGTCAGTGCTGAGAAAATGGTGGTGGCATGCTTTTGAACTAGAACACACCGAAGATGTTTTAGTTCCAAAGTGCACTGCTACCATTTTCTACATACTGACACGCATTTCGCTGCTTATACAAATGTATGCAATGCAGCGCAGTGTGTCAGCTCATGTGCAGAGCAGACTAGATTAATTGAGTCTGCTCTGATGTGTTGGAGATTCGGCACATCGCAGCACAAAAATGTGTGTGTATAAATGCCCTCTGTTATTCTTTTTACTAAACTTAGTGTTAACTATTGTTGCTTCTGAGGAGACAGTCAGTCCCATAACTATTTCTCAAGGTTTTGCCAGTGTCAGCCACTATTAAGTAGCATTTCAGATGTTTTAAAACAAGGAAATGGGACATATTAGTCTCTGGAAACAATAGCTCTCCTTAGCAGCTGGCCTATTTGAGAACTAGATAAAGTACTGGCTAAATCTACTGGTAAATTCTGTTAAAGGAAAGAAGAATGGAAGAGTCAGCCCTTTTAACTGACAGTTAAAGGGGAAAATTTTCCTTGTTTAAAAGTTCATCCATTTCATGAGGAACAAAGTCACCAGCAGTGTTTACGTTGTTGATTTTGTACACTCATGAAAAAGACTAAAAGGAATACCCTTGCATGTCCTATTAAACATCTCTTCAAATGTCTTTTCCCCCCCACAAGAACGGAATAAAACTAAAAACTGCAATAACTACATAAGGGTCATCATAAGGGTCACTTCAGAAAGTAAACTATACCCCAGATTAATTATAGAAGAGTCTCGTTTTCACAGTCAAATCCATTTTAAATACCCTTTTAATAATATATCCACATTGGTCACACATTTCTAGGTTTCCCAAAATTAGGTGGTACTATAGTTTTAGCATACACAAGGAAACTAGGTTTTAAAATAGAATAGTTTTACCGTTTTTATCTTTGGGATAATTCTGTTCTGTCTATCTGAAATACACCATTTTGGGAAGCTGCCTTTCTTACCAGCCTATAATTTGTACCTGGAAGCTATTCCAATAATGTGTTTTCATCTTTGCATTGATTACTATATTCACCAAGTTGTCAGCTTCAAGTTAGCCTACTGTGTGACAAGATTCTTGATGCTAGCTGGTTTAAAGCTCTAGCTAGCAAGTATGATCTTGAAGAATTTAATCCAGACATCAAGCTGTTAGTGAAAAATAGTGAGAAAAATTAAAAAAAAAAAACAACAACAAAAAAACCTTTGAAGTTGGAGAAGTAAACATTTAGAAACACCATGCAAGAAATGCATGTTATGTGTGAAGCATGCTTTAAGGTCAAACTATTGAGTACTGGCAACAAGATGCACTGTAGCTATCACTGAATGCACATCAATGATCTTTCCAATTCCTATTGTAAAATAAGGTGCAACCTAAGAACCAGACCAGATAAGATAGAAGGAGAGTTCAGATAAATCTCTCGCTACTAGTCTTTTTTTTAAACAAAGGTATTTTGGATTGTATACTTAGATGCCAATTCATATGTGGCATAATACTTTCCACATATGTCCTACTGCATACACATGCAAATATGAGATTCATTTAGAGTACACAACCAACACACACCTGTTTTTTTTGTCCAGTTAGCCTGTGAGATGAAGTTTCTGCATTGTTTTTCAAATTCTGCAGATCATTCTGCAAATCTAAGTTGACAAAATAGAGCACACAGATCAATAAAATATCAGCGATAGACAATGATACCATGCACTGTGACTGAGCATAAAGTAAGTACAGAATTTTGCATCCGCTTTGGCCTTATGCATGTAAGTTTGTGCATCTTTAGAAAGGAATTTCATTTTGTTAAAAGCCATTCAATCTACCTATTTCTTTTTCAATTCCTAAGCAGTCATACCCAGAAAGCCAAAGACAGACAAAGATCCATTAATGTTCCACTGCTAGCTTTTTCATACCCAGAGTACTATTAGTGCAATATGAAGCAGGCACTGTTTTACTACTTTACCTTGGCATTTTATCTCCCAAATTTGAAAGCTGGCAGAGCTGATGCACAATGATTACTGTTTCCCTCCCCCACAATCAACTTTAAAACAATCAAAATGGTGGGCAAGTGAAGAGCAGGCTGATTGGTCATTTCTGCAAAGAAAGACAGCTACACAGAAATAGCCAAGAATATAGACAGCTCTCAAAATACCAACTTATTTATAAATAATTGTTTTGCATATGCCCCTATAATCTTGATAAAACCCACTGTATACTAACTTCGACAAGCATCGGTTCTTCCCCGCTTCTTTATCCTGGGAAAAGGTGCCATTTCTGGGTTCAAAGGTGTGTGCGCTTCTATATGTGACCTACAAGACATGTATGAAGACCTGAACTAAAACATGCAGCTGGGAATGCTGAAGCCTTCAGAACTCGCATGACAGAGCAAAAAGAAAATTCTCTTTACCTCAGTTGTTTTCTTGCATTTCCAGAAGACCTCTTTGATATATGATTTACATCTTCAAAGTTACTTAAAAGAAAAGTAGATACCCCAAATCATTCTACAGGCTGTAGCTCTTCCAGCTAGATTCTAGCCAACCCAGCTAGGCCTCTTTTTACTACTGAAGTCTTCAAGGTTTGTAACAAAATGTACAAAAACAGCTATGTAAAATACTAGCCCTTTTACCAAATGTATTTACAACTCCATTGCTAGCCAATGCTTCCATTCATGCAAACTATAAAAAAGAAAAAGAACTGGATGAAACCCTTACTCCACCAAAACACATACAAATAACATACAATACATAGCAAAGCTTTTAAATTTCAAGCAAGTCCTTCAAACAAAATATGTCTTTGTGTATGTTTTCACTCCCTCATTCTGGATACTTTATATAGCCTACTCATTTCTTTCCTTTTTTCTGTCCTTGTATGACATAGTATTTAGCAGAATTCAGAGATTTGTTGGAACCTGACAGAGTTATGCCTTGAGCACTTCTGCTATGGCCTTGAACTTGCAACATCTGGGCTGTCAACCATGTACCTTAGTCCCTGGCACCACCCCAACCCCCTAGCCTACTAATGACTTCCATATAGTTTCAGCTATGTCTTCTGTACAGACCTTACAGAAGGCTTATACAGATTACAGTTACTCTTGATTTAGAACCTAATTTGTATCTGTGTTTATATCCTTGATGAAATATCCTTCCCATCAGAAGAAGCCACTTAGCAATCATAGAACTGTAACACTAAACATTCTGAACAGGAAGGCTATCATCTCTAGCACAACACCTTTCTTGGTGAACAAAGTTATAAAGTTATAAAGTCTAGGTTTTCAATATTTGCAATGACTTATTCAGTGGTAACTCAATAAAAAGTGACTAGCCAAAATTAGACTGAAATGGTAAATCCCTCATCATTAAAGCACAACAGAGCTTTCAGACTTTAGGTTAAATTGCTCTTCCACTTGGAACCAGTTTAACCTACTGATGAAAAGAGTTTTCTTTCACTACAACCACAAGCCATAAACAGAACATTTTACTGAAATCACAGATAAACTCAAATCTCTCCTTACTCTCTCTTGGCAGAAGCAGCTCTGGCTCCTAGTAGACATTAATTTAGTGGTACTGTTAGGATCAGATCCCTGATCCCAATAATCACATGGTCTGGATGTGCAATTTTGGGGATCAGGAATTAGACCCCAGTCATGCCCTTTATATTTGCTAGCGCATCTGGAGCCTGAGTTTGAAATCCTGGGCTCTACTTGAACCAGAAATTCCAGAACTTTACACCTGGCATCAGACTGCCAGGTGGGGAAGACAACTGGCTCCCCCTGCTCAGCAAATTCAGAGCTACATTGCTGGCAGCACATATCTTTGGATTTGCTGAGTAGGGGGGAAACCAACTGTACCAGCCCCAGTCCAGATCTACTGTTTACATGCCCTAGTTCCTATGCCAGCAATCATGGTGGGGGCTCCCCCATATCAGCTGGGCCAGGTCTCCCTCCATTCTGATGCCGACAATCAGCTAGACTGTCAGCATGGGGACAGGACGTGTCATATGATCAACTTAAGGTGCCACACAAGCCACCCACAGAAGTGTTTTGTATAATATGTGAAACATTTTTGGCTGGTTTGCATTCTATGGTGCCATAAATTGGCTCAATGTGTGTGACATGTTGCTATTTATGGTGGAATTAACACATTACTTATGTGATTAACACCTGCCAGGGACCTCAAAATATTTTCTCTGCCCCTCAAAATTCAGAGGGCAGGACTAAAAGTTCGAGAATAAAGAGTTAGACAGATTCAGCAATTACGGCATAAAGACTTATTCTGGAACCTGTTGAAGGCAAGCATGTGCATCCTCAAGAAATGCTTAGTAAGTTAGCACCATGCTCCACAACTGTAAAACTGAACACTTGAAAAAAAAAGCAGAACCATCTGTTTGTATTACTTTTCTGTTGCACATTTTTAAAGCAGCACTTCTGTATTCTTATGGTGCTTACAAGACTTTAATTTCAAATCCCAGTATCATACAAGGATCAGTGACATGATGGTCAGTTACAAACCTTTGTTCCATTTCCAAAATATTTCCATGATTTGTTTTAACAACACTTGCAGGTTTATCTTGTGAGGCTTTTCCTCCCAATCTTTTGGCCTCCACCTCTTTCACTGCTGCCTGTGAAAAATCCAAGAGCAATACATTTATTTTAACATAAATAGCAACTACATACATTACTGTTAAAATACATTAGAATAAGCTAGACTGTAGAACACACCTATATCAGAGGGTTAGGTCTACAAACCCTCACCTGTGCAGTAGAATTTAGAAGATGCAACACAAAAGCTGTGAGGGACTGTGGTGCTGCTATAGTCATGTGCTGCAGTAGCTTTTGTTAGAATGTGCACTGCTTCTTCCATCAGCTGTGGAGGGACAGATGAGCTGAAGTAAAAGCTTGTCCTTCACTTGGCAATCTGCTGAGAATTGAAGTGCCTGCAAACTACCCCCAAAAGAATGATCTGGGTTCTACCATACTATGCTTACTTTGTAGACTTTCTAATAGGAACATTTTACCATTAAGAGCCAGGCCAAGTGTATTTCAGCAGCATTAATGAAGAACTAAAGCTCAGTTAGGACATTAAGTTCAAGACCACTCAATATTTCAGAATAAAATTAAGAGGACCACAGTTGATATGGCATATATTAGCTATGCATTGCAGGTTCATGTAGTAAAGAAGTTTATGCAGGTGAAGTATGTGGTTGGTACATCTTAGACCAGTTCTATAGGGAGTTCAAACATTAAAAGGAAGAATTCAAAATATTTGTAAAAATAAACAAACAATAAAAATAGGGCCTGTCAGTTCCCTCACAAGAGTTTTAAAACCAAAATTTTGAGCTTACCAGATGGGGATACGGTAGGTGCATTTGGAGTGGTTATGATAGTAACAGTATCAATGGCACTGTTTGTCTTTACAAGACTAGAGGTGCACTGATGCATCGGTTCAAAATCAGATCGGCCCTGATATAAAGAAAATTTACTGCATCGGGGAAAAAAAAACCCAAAAGAAACCCCCAAAAAGCCGGCTTTTTTGCTCGATGTGGTTGATAAATGCAAATGCACAGCCACAGCACAGCATGTAGGCAGCAAGGAGCACAGCCCAGCAGTGTGGAGAGCTGTGTCCAGTTGGTAAGTCTGTTGTGGTGAAAGGGGAGGGGGAAGGGCAGGGGCATGGGGAAGGGCCGATTGAGGCCCCCATGGTGAGGGAGGGAGTGGGGCTGGAGCAGAGCACAGAATAGAGCCGTGGCTCATCTGGGGAATGTGGTGGGGGCAGCTCCCGCTGCTGTGCACACTCCAGTAGGGCATGGGGGTGTGTACACCCCCGGATTTGTGCGTGGGGCAGGCTGGGAAGGGGAACTGGGAGAGCTACCGTGAATTTTGGGGTGGCTGCAGCCCCTACATGACCCCCGTCCAGCACTGCCGCCACCCATTCCAAGTGCAGCCTGGCCCAGCCCCACTCCAGGAAAAGCCTGACACCACCCCCAGAGGCAGCCCAGCCTACCTCACACGCAGATCCGGGGGCACACGCCCCCGCACTGAATGAGTTGTGTCTCTATCCTGCACTCTGCCCCAGCCCCACTTGCTCCCTCACTGCAGGGGCCTCGATCTGCCCCCTCCCCCCACACCCTTCCACCATGACAGACTTACTACCCGGACACTGCTCTTCAAGCTGCCAGGCTGCGTTTCAGAAATCGGATTCGTATCAGCCAATATCCCTCCTTAAAAAAAAAAAAAAAAAAAAAAAAAAAAAAAAAAATCGGCTATTGACAATCGGCCCAAAATTCTCTATCAGTGCACCCCTAAATTCTGCTTATTAAAAATTAAAGTAAGAACAAAGCAACAACAACTATTAATGTATCAAATAATATTTGAAAGGGATACCATAAATTTTAAGATTATGTTTACATTTAGGGAAAAAAACGTTATAGCTACAAACAAAAGGTAACATCCGAAATTCTTGCGACTAATTAAAAAAAAAAAAAAAAAAAAAAAAGGTATCTCCAGTTTGTGTGTAATAATCTGAACACACTGTTGATAGTATTTCCCGTCTCATACAGCACTTGTAGAGTATTGGGAGAATTTCACCTGCATGATGTTTTCCAGGCCATGCAAGTGGGTCATCATCAGCTACAATAGCAGCTGCACTCACATTTGAGTTGGTAATGGCCAGAAAAGATGCTCTTAATATTCAGACACAGATATAGGTAACTTTAACTCTTCTCACTTGCAGTTTGCCAAGATAGAATAGGAAAGAACCTTCAAACTCAGATTTCTATGCCTAGGATGTACAGCAAGCTTTGGGGTGCATGATGGTAGGGGGAGGGAAAGGGAAGAAAGAGATGGATTGTACAATGGAAATGGAGGCTCATCACTTTCTGAACTGCTCTGAAAGTCCTAGAGGTAGATTTAGGGATTGGGGATTAACATTGATGTTGCGAGTGAAGAGGCTGGGGCCTGAGCACAGTGGTATCCTAGGCCTCTCTTTTTACCTTTCTTTTTTGAAGGGCTATGTTAACAGCAAAAGAAAAATCACTTTCTAAATGGGCTTGAGGATGTCCTAACTCCGAAAGTACCCTAAAAAGAACCTGTATCTTTTTTTAATTTGGGGGGGGGGGGGGGGGGG